GGATCCTGGAGGAGAAGAACAGAGAGAATTGACTACAGACAGGAAGAGAGGAGGACAACAGTACGTGCTAAGGGTTAATATTAAACACAGCAAAGCAAACACATTCAGAGAAGAAAGAAAAAAAGCACACTGGCCGGGAGAGAAATTCCTACAAAAATCAAAGCTACCGTTAACAAACATGCCCGAGAGCTTTTACTAAGGTCTGAATGAAAACAGCAACATTGCTTTACACATCAGTGCCCTCAAGTAACTGAGAATAACAGAGAAAGATAGACAGACACACAACCACATGCATTTGAAAAAGAGTGAGAACTAAGAGAATATGAGAGAAGAGATTCAAAAGAGGACTGAGAGGTAATAGCACAGTCAATATTATCTGTCTGCTATTGGCAGGCTGAGCTGTTTTGTTTGACTGGGATGAATCCGTGAAAGCAGAGGGATACAAGTCTCCCTTTCAAACGTATACGTGCACATATAACATTGAAACAATAAAGAGGGCAGATTTCATTATAGGCCAGCAGGACTGAAAGTGTTTGTAAGCCCAAGAGAGGGAAAAACATACAGTTGTGCCGAACAGCGAAGCTGTAAAGTGTAAACCCCTCTTGTGGTGAGTAGTCATCATTTCCATCACTTATTTTCTGCAATCCACTGCTGTAATTATGTTGTATAGTAATCCTGTAGACTTGCATTGAAAATTTCTGTCTATAATATCAGTCTAAACTTCACATAGACATATAGACAGCATTAAAAACTTGATTTTCACTACAGGGGGGCTTTAAAAAGATGTAGTTTATTCCAGCCCCATCTGATCACAGAATGATTATTCCAAACCTGTATGAACTGGAAAACATAAAAGAACATATTTTGAAGGATGTTGGCAACCAAACAGTTTTGGTTATCATTGACTTCCATTGGACAACAAAACACTGGCACTCAAAAAAGTACATTTGGGATGACAAGAGGGTGAGTACATGTGTAAATATCTCTTTAAATACACTTCTGTCTGTCAGATCCTGGGTTAATATGTGCTATTATATTTCAAAATCTACCTGAAAGGCGTTCATTGGTAGACTCGCTTTAGCAAAAGGGTTTTAGCGAACCCATTCGATTTTGAGAGGATCAGAAATTAAAACCCATTTACATTTTACTGTATCTCTTTTATTTTGCTGTAATTGTAACAATAGTTCATTCTAAACTGACTGACTTTGGTTTTGGCAGTGGCTTCACTTTTTAGACTCTTCGTTCCATCCAACACACACTGCCCCCACCTGGCTGCTAAAAGACAACAAAATAGTTGTAAACCATAACTTTTCAGATCTGTAAATGAACAGTAGATTGACACAAAATACCACCCAAATACAAAAGGAACACCATATGTGATGAGAATGAGGTTGGCTGAGAAAGTTCATCCGTTTATCTGAAAAACACACACATTTCTAGCAGGCATGATAATCTTTCCACTGTTACTCGCTTTTTTTAATTTAGCACTTCTGTAACGTCCAATGATGTTGCACAAAAGATGCTTTCCCATTTCGAGACTGATGTCAAAATGAAACATTAATTCTCGTATTAGTCAGTTAAATGAATAATCTGTTATAGAAACCAGTCATTCAGCTCTAAAATTAAAGTGTTTAATAAATTCTCAAGGACACTGCATGGCCAGTCTAAAACAAATCACCCACAAAAACCTTACTGACTGGGCAAAATATCATCTGACTGAAACGCTGCCAGCATTATGACTCATATTTAGGATCTCTGTCGCTTTGTAATAGTATATTTTTAATAAATTTAAGGTCCCTTCCCTCAGAAGCAAGAGAGCACGCCCACCTCAAAATCTCAAAACAAATAAAGAATGGCACATAACTGGCTACCATAACGCTTTTACACTTAAGATTAGGGCTCTCAAAAATCCACAAGAACTAGTAATAGATGTCAGAATTAACTTCATCCTATTACTGCAGATCTTGGGGCATATTGGTGGCCAGTGCAAAGATTTAGACAGAAGAAAATACCTTTTAGGTGAGTATTTACATTAGGTTTTGAGAGGGTCAGAAACTATAATCCATTTGTAGTCTATTCAGTTTGCTGCCAACAAATTAAAAGACTTCCTGAATAGAAATTTTTACCTAAAGCTGTGTTGGTCACAAATACAGGGGGAGTAATTGGTTTTGCTATAAATAGTAAATAAATAAAAACTTAAGTTAATTCAGAAATAAATGAATATCTGCAAGGTAAACATGTCATTTATTCCTGTTATGACAAACTGACTTTCCAGTATCATTACTCCAGTCTTCAGTGTCACATGATCCTTCAGAAATCATTCTAATATGCTGAAATTTCACTCAAAGAAACATTTCTTAATATTACCAATGATGAAAATGGTTATTTTTGCATATTTTTGTGAAACCATGCTATTAGTTCAGGATCATTTGATGAATAGAAAGTTCAAAAGAACAATATTTGAAATAGAAATCTTTTAAATGTCTTCACTGTCACTTTGATCACTTTTGAGTATAAGAGTATTAATTAATTTCCTAAAAGACACATTTCTAAAAAAATTAATACATAACAATCTCTGGTAGTGTACCAAACCCAAACCCTCTAAGATATTGATATTTTATAATATCCATCCATTTAGGACACATCTATGATTGTTAGCTGTAATTTCTAATCATGTATAATTTCATAATCTATGTATCATCAAACTAACAAGGAAATGGGGGGGGGGGGGGGGGAAGCAAGATAAATAAACAACTACACCAAATCTCTTTTTTTTTTTTTCAAATAAAATAGGTTTATTTCCAGTCTGAAAAGATTAAAACAACAAAAATGGACAGTGGAACAGTTAGAGGATGACCAGTGGGTCACAGTGGGTTACAGGGAGGAGAGATTATCCTTGATTACTCACTTCATTTTGTGTACATATTTATAAATGAATACAAATATACATATCAATTATTTAACAAAAATAGCTTAGCTTATGAGGACAGCAGATGACTGAAATCAGCTAAAATAATCCTGTTGGGGTAGGAGGTGGGATTTCACGAGAGTAAAATACCATACGCGTGTCTAAGAATGTGTGAGGCCGAACCACTGGATTACACACCGTGCTAGAAAATTTAGTTCCCTTTAGCACAAAATTGTGATGTGTTTGTGTAGAGAGCTCTGTAATATAAGAGCAAAGCCCAAGGGTTTGGGGTGTGGGTTTTTGCAGGAGGCATTAAGGCTGCATTAATCACTTGGTTTATACATTAGAAGGCAGGTCCGGATAAATCAACTAAAATGAGCTACCAAGCAAACACTACAGAGCTAGCAACCACAGAAATAGGATTTCAGAGCATAAACCTAAAATACGGGGCATAAAACTGTTTGTGACACATATTTAGTAAAAGAAAGCAAATATACGCGCGATTAACAAATGCAACGGCTCATGCATCACTTAAAATTCCTTGTGAAATGCCCTTGTCAACTTGAGTGACAAGACAAAACATAGTAAAAACACATTCATAAACATCTCTATCACCTAAAAATGGGCTTGTGTGTTTCATTGTAAGCCATTATATAACCTCTCCACAATTAATGGACCTGTACCTATGACTATCTTGAAGCTAAAAATTCAGTATTTCTGCTTTTTTTTTTTTTTTTGGACATCTTACAAACGATGAGGGGAATCTAAAGCTATTTATGGATCTCAAAACTGCATAAATACAACAAAACGCATTGTAAAAACATCTCAGAGTCACGTCATTAGTCAATTTTCACATGAGAGAAATTAAAGTCCTTATAAAGCCAAAACGAGGGTTAAGCAAACCAACAGCATCCTAGTAAGATTCGTCGTTCCTCATGTCTACATTCCTAAAGTGATTCCACGCAGCTTTTCGGATGCAAAAAAGCTTTAAAAGACACATGAACACATCTTGGCCTCTAAGACCATCCTAAAATGTCCTGTTAATTTTAGATTCATTTCGTAAATCCTCCTATTACACAATATTCCAGCTTCCACTGGGGAAAACACAGCTTACCATTCCACACACAAACACAACTATCTTTAAGCCCGTGTTATAACAAGCCGAAAGCATAGAGGATACAAGGAGATTTCTTTCCGTTTACATTAGCTATACACTGTTAGATTGTCATTTTGTTACAATATTAGTTTTAAAGTTTAATAAATCACCCTGTGAAGTTCACGAAAAAGACTCAAAGAAGTGATCATTTTACCTACCCTTTTTTCAGTATGCAAATATACGGGATTAGACAAAAAGCTAACTTATATTTATCAGACGCAAGGGAAATCCTGTTCATATAATCTATTCAATACATAAAAGATTTAGTTTGGGGAGGTAAGGACGCAGGGGTTTCGATTTTACCATGTCACGTTTTAGACAATCTTAGGACAAATTAACAAGCGGCAATCTCTCTGAAAACAACACAATTAAATTAATTCAGAACTGTTACATATAGCATTGGGGGGGAAAGGTGAAAAGGTGCAGGAGAATATAAACTAAGAGCATTCAAATAAATGAACGAATGATTCAATCACACACTTTAGCAGCAAACAGTACTCTGTTGCGCTCCCTATTGGTCAGAGGAACACATGTAGGCTCTGCCCAAAACCAGGCCAGCTCACTGCATCACACTGGATTTGTTCTTTAAGAAAAAAAAAACAACAACAAAAAACCACATCCAAAAAAATAAATCAATACATGAAGCGAATGGTACAAGAAGAAAAATCTGAGAGTTGAGTATTACTTGCATTCACTCATCACTCTCTCAGCAGTGCAGATGGGTGAGTGAGAGCTATAGCTAAAGCCTTTTATATTTGTGTCAAAAGCCTAAATATCCCCATTAAAACCCACATAATTTTAAGCACAATAAACATGCAATCTCACACATCCATTCATTCAATATGCATTGATAGCCAAACACTTAAAAGGTTAGTTCACCCAAAAATGAAATTGTCATCACTTACTCAATCTCAAGTTGTTCCAAACCTGTGTGAGTTTCTTTTTTTTTTTTGCTGAACACAAAAGAAGATGGAGTGAAGAATGTGGGTAACGAAACAATTGACGGTGGCCATTGGCTTCCAGGAAAAAAATACTATGGAAGTCAATGGCTACCGTCAACTGTCTGGTTACCCACATTCTTTAAAATATCTTCTTTTGTGTTCAACAGAAGTAAGAAACTAATACAGGTTTGGATCAACATGAGGGTGAGTAAATGATGACAGAATTTTCATTTTTGGGTAAACTATCCCTTTAAGACGGCCTGTCTCAGTTCTGGATGCTTCTTAACAATTGCTTTTTTCCAGCAAGAACAGGAGATCCTCTAAGATGCTCCCAGGCCAACTTAAACTAAAATCAAGAGCTGCAGTAGTGCAGAACACTGTAGAGACAAGTTCTAGTGTTGATGATAAAAGAGAGAATCAGTTTTAGCCCACAAACACACACACCTTTCACTATGGAAATAGTTTGGTGGCTCAAACATGCACTCTTAAACACACACATACATACAACACAAACCACTGATTTCTCATCTGACGCATTCATTCTTACACACACAAACATGCACACAATTTCAGCTTAGTTTAAGTAAGTTAAAGCGGTTTCCTCAGAAAAATAAGGGGTAAAAATAAAAAACCCACCCCATCAGAAAAAGAAAAACAGTAGTACTGAGAGAACATAACAATTACTGTCATCTGTGCTGTGAGATTTACAAAAAAGCTTACTGTACTGTGCTGTGAGCCCATATCATTTACCCGTTTCACTTAAAAAGTAACAATACAAAAAGTTATATTTAGTTTTTAAAAAAAAGGGGTAAAAATGAAAGAAATGAAAATGAGGAGGCAGATGAGAGGCAGATGTGTTGGGCTTCAGCGGTTAGAGAGGAAACAAAAAGCAGGCAGGGCACAAAGGTGTGCCTTTTTTTTCTTTTTTTTTATAAACTTAAAACTCAAGCTGCATTTGATACAGGCTTTTTCTTTGTACAAGACAATTGCACTTCACAGAAATAAAAGCTGAAATATACAAACACACAAGGAAATGTGAATCAAATTAATTACACCGAAAAAAATATATATATTTAAATGAAAAAAAAAAAAGTGTTGTGTTGGATTTTTTTAAGAGGGTGATGTTAAGGATAAAAGGTTTTGGGAAGAGAGTGATTCGGGACAAAAGAGTAAGCAGAAATTTTCCAGAAGGTACCATTGCCTTGCACTGAGAGGGAACATTATGTGAACAAGGGGAGGGAGCCCTCATTCCCTTCCTTTTCCTCCTCCTCCTCCGAACAGTCCAGAGCAGCTGAGCTGGGCTGTGGTAGGGTTCTTGTGCAGGTCCTGTAGTAGTTGAGGGTTCTTGTGCAGGGTTCTGGTGCCGGGTCCTGTAGGAAAGGTTGTTGTGCAGGGTTCTGGAGGGTTGTAAACTCTGTGCAGTGTTTAAAGTGGCGGGGCTACCACATGTCATCCGTGGATGCAGAGTCCTTGAATGGAGAGAGGAGGAGAGCAGCTGTGAGATGCCACCAAGCTCCAACCGCCAACCACTCAGGAAAACGCGTGTGTGTGTGTGTGTGTGTGTGTGTGTGTCACAGTATGAAACAAGATGAAGATAAATCAGGAATGATTCAAGGAAATGCTGATGGAAATGATGGAATGGCCAAACTAATATGCTGATTGAAACTGACAGAAATTACAGCACTTGATGTTGTTTTTGTGCCAATAGGATATTTTAAGATTTTGTGCAAAAAAGCTCCTCTTTAGGAGCATCAATCACTTGGTCAGAAAAGCAATCTCCAGAAATAAAATCGCAGTCAGTGTGAACCGGACTTGAGATGCACTCGAGAAAAGCATGTAAAATGCAGGATTCATTTTTTTAATATATATATATATATATATATATATATATATATATATATATATATATAATTAAAGGGATAGTTCACCCCAAAATGAAAATTATGTCTGTCATTACTCACCCTCATGTCGTTCCAACCCCATAAGACTTTCGTTCATCTTCGGAACACAAATTAAGATATTTTTGATTAAATCTGAGAGCTGGATCACTCCTCCATAGGCTTCTAAGGGATCGAAACTTACCGGCCCAGAAAAGTTAAAGACATCGTTAAAATAGTCCAAGTGACTACAGTGGCTCTATCTTAAAGTTTATCAAGTGACGAGAATACTTTTTGAGCGCAAAAAACAAACAAAAATAACGACTTTATTCAACTATTCATTTCCTTCTCTGTGGGCGTCGAGTGAGTTCACGTAGTGTAACTGACCAGCGCTTCTGCGTCACACGTAGGCTCACTATTGGCTGTCACTGGTCATGTAATGTGTGTGACGTACAACCCAGAAGCGCTGCACTCGAGACCCACAGAGAAGGAAATGAATAGTTGAATAAAGTTGTTATATTTGTTTGTTTTTTTGCACACAAAAAGTATTCTCGTTGTTTGATAAACTTAAGATAGAGCCACTGTAGTCACTCGGACTATTTTAACGATGTCTTTAACCTTTCTGGGCCGGTAAGTTTCGATCCCTTAGAAGCCTATCGAGGAGTGATCCAGCTCTCAGATTTCATCAAAAATCTCTTAATTTGTGTTCTGAAGATGAACGAAAGTCTTACGAGGTTGGAACAACATGAGGGTGAGTAATTACTGACAGAATTTTTCATTTTGGGGTGAACTTAAGCAGAGCAATAAATTACATAGTCATTATTAATTGAGATATTGATGGCGCTATACATTACTGTTCAAAAGTTTGGAGTCTTTAAAATTTGTTTTTGAAATCTCATACCCACCAAAGCTGTATTTATGTGATCAAAAATACAGTAAAATCAATATTATGAAATATTACAATTTAAAATAACTGCTTCTATTTAACATATTTTACAAAGTAATTTATTCATGTGATGGCAAAACTGAATTTTCAGCATCATTACTCCTTCAGAAATCATATAAATATTATCAATGCTGCTTTTTATTTTATTTATTTTTTTCAGGATTCTTTGATCAATAGAAAGTTCAAAAGAACAGCAATTAATTCAAATAGATTTTTTTAAACAAATGCCTTTATGGTCTTAACTTCTGAATCAGACTATTAATTTCTTTCTGTAAAAAAAAAATTAATAAAAATCTTACTGACTCCAAACTTTTCAAATGGTAGTAAATGCATGGATGTGACTTATTTAAAAGGATGATTCCTTGGATTGAGGAAAAATACATGTGATAGTTTCCCAAATTCAGATTTGTAAAGTCTTGTATTAGGATTATATTACCACAGCAGTTTAGTCCAATACTTAATCGGTATTTGGAAAATACCATTAGTCACAACAGCCTCTCTGGACCTATTTTACACCAGTTTACAATTTGACAAAGTTTTAGAATTGTTTTGTTTTTTAAAAATGGTAGAACTGAAAAAAAGGATTTAAAAAAAAATGTCTTCCTCAAAAACCTACAGGGTATGTACCTGCAATCTATCAGGCTGCACCTAAAAGCAAAGCCCCGCCCAAAAACAAAGAAAGAAAAATATCACCAATGGCTCACACAGCTTTAGTCCATCAATACACACACCAACCCACCACAGTTCACACTTAGCAGGCTGTATAAACCTTATAAACATGAATATGACATGAAATAAATATAAAATGAATATGAAGGAGAAGAAAATTACAAAACTGAAAATAATTGTTCCATTGTTATTTTGGGAAGGCCTGAAAGAGCAGCCTGAGGTGTGGCAGGTCAAGGCTAGTCATGAAAAGCATCAGAATCAAGTGCTGAGTGCTGAAGTAAAGAGCACCTGGGGTACCTGATTTTCAGTCAGTTCTTACACTATCAGTCGTTTATATGAAGAAGAAAAAAAATTGGATATGTTTGGATTTTTAAAATCACAATAAATTTGGCAAAAGTGATGCGAAAAGTATCAGTACTGTAGCAAGTTCATATATATATATATATATATATAAACGGATTAATAAACAAAAATACCAGTCAATACCAGTCTTTCTACAGTTTTGGTAGTATCAAGTATTCAAAATTCAAATGAATTTTCATTCATTTGAAAATTTGCCATAAAATGCCACGTTTATAAAGAGCAATTAACACGTCAAACGCAGCTATGTCCACAAACATTCAAATGCACTTCTTGGTCAAAATGCTTGTCTAGTCTAGTTAATTGGTTTCATTGCTTGTATTTGTTTGTTTGTCAGTCCTTAACTTTTGAAAAATTTACTTTAAAAACTTGAAGTCTATGCTTGAAGAATACTTATTGTTACCATATTGAATATGGTAACATTTGTATTAATATTTAACTTTTAAAATAAAGAACTGTGTTAGATAGCATATTCGTTTTTGCTGTGGTATCAAACCAGAGTATTCCAGAATTGTTTACTGCTGGTATTGACTATTGAAATCTGGTCCCATGATAACCCTATAAGCAGAGCAAGGTAGTCACTGATTGCATGTAATCTGAATTACGTAATCACATTCCAAAAATTAAGTACTTGTAATTAGATTATATTACATTTTAAAATACTGTTATTCAGACTACAGTTACTTTTTTATTGATTACATTTTATTCTAACAATGACAGTCAAATATTCATAATTCATTGATTCTCCCTACTACTTATTTTTTATCTTTTAAATTTTCCTTTTTAAAAACGCCTGTTTGTATACGTCCAGAACGTCTTCCAGGTTTGTGGATTTGGACACACAGACCAGCCACTAGGAGTGAGCCAATCACAGAAAACGGAGACCCAAACAGCAATTGATCACTGGAGAGAAATCATTTCACTTTCAACCAGTGTTTTCTCAACATTGCATCTAATCTAATCAACTCCAGATTAACACGTTAATTATTATTTGAATTATCACTTAGTTTTAGTGAGTTTTTTAACCATGCATTAATGTCTTTGGAAGGCTTTTGTCTTTCAGGCAAATTGAAAATGTACAAATTCACATAATTTCATATTTACATGCAATGGAGGGATTCCCCAACTTTTTTGTCAGCTGAAATTTCTTTGACCAACTATATTTACTTGAAGTACCCACTGAGATTGTAATTTGTAAGTTAGGTCAATAATAAAATTGTCAATATAAATAGTAATAATGAATATTAAAATGAAGTTCACAGTTCTCTGATGTTGGTTGATGGTCACATGACATGCAGACAAAGAAAAATTTCTCTTTTTTTAGTAGTGTTTTATTTTTATTGTTTTTATTTTTAAAATTATTTATTTTAATTAAAAAATATATGATTTAATTACTTAATAGCTTTTCATTAAACTCACAAATTCCTGCAGTTCCATCACGAACCCCAGTCTGGGAAACCCTGACGACGTAATGTAATATTTAACGCACTTCATGTTGTTGATAACAAATAATGGAATTTATTTTTATTTCAAGATTATTCTACTCAAATCAATGTGATAAACAAGTTAGGTCAAAAGTAATCTAAAAGTAATCCAAAAGTAGTCAGATTATATTTTCTTAAATATGTAATGCAATGGATTACTACAATTTTTGTCATGTAATTTGTAATCAGTAACCAATTACGATTTGTAAGTAATCTACATCTACATACGATTGTAAGTAATCTACCAGCTCTGCCTATATGGCACTAACACATCTTTTGTAAGGTCTTTTTTTTTTTTTAGATCAAGAACTGTACTGAATCAAGAAAGCTATTATCATCCAATCAATCCATGACAAATTTATTCAAAAACGTTTGTTAAGAGTTTTAGAATTTCTTATAAATCTAAAATTAATTTGACCAACAAATTTGAAGGGCTCCATCCTGCACTCAACCAAACCATTCCCAAGCACAGCTCAGCCTATCCGGCACCATAAGTATAGAGCAGATAATATGGAACAGGACGGAAACATGCACAAATGAAAGAACAAAAGACTAGAACACTTGAGAAGGTGACAAACAACATAATCGTGCAATGTGACTGAATTCTAGAGCACAACAAAAAGCATGCAAGCAAAAATCCCAGCATTTATACACACACACAGGGTCAAGCTGGTGTACTCACTGTATCCTCGTTCCTGTATGGGTTAAGTTTGTTGTATACTGCTTCAATGAAACTCCGCCTATGACGAACACAGGAAAATGTATGAGCTTCTGAAGGAAGAAAGAGAGGGAAAGAACCATGTCCTCTCTCACAAATAGGGTGACCAGAAGTCCCGAAAAATTCGGGACAGTCCCGAAATCTAAACTGTTGTCCCGAATCCCGAAACCGGCCTTAATTGTCCCGAAAATTATACTAAAGCAAAATCTTAATATAAAACATTAAAAAATGTCCGTAGAGGTTGAGTCGTCCTGCAGCCAGCCCCCTCAAGTTGCAGCAGCTGCGAGGACAGTGCAGGCACACAGTCATAAAGGAGTGATTGATTGGTCGCGGCACTGTGTTTAAAAAAATACTTCGGCCCGGCCTAATGTCTGATGTCAGGTTACACAAAGCATATCATCTATACACAATTATTTAGTTTTCCTATTTAATGACCGACAATTTAGTTGTAATAATAATTTTGGCCTAACGCTTTCATCTGGTCACCCTACTCGCAAAACCTACTGAGCTGCCCAAATTGAAAACAAAATGGAAATTAATATGCAATTCTTTAAGTGCAGCAACTTGTCAGACCCAAGTCTGTTTGACATCAAAGTTTGGTTGGCTTTTAGAGGGGTTTTATAAACTTTACTAAGGGGCCATTTACACATAATTTTCGATTAAAAATGTAAAACTTTATGCGTTTTGGCTGTTAATTTACACGAGAATGGCATTTTGGAGGCCTGAAAACGGGTTTCAAAGTGCACGTTTTTGAAAACAACAGTTATCGTCTACGTGTAAACGTGAATTTGTGAGAACAGTGACGTCATGCGCATTAACGTGTTCAGTCTTTAGGCGCGTAGTGTTTCTATACAAAGTGACGTCATCAACTGCTGGCCTGGCATGAACAATACAGCATTTTTTGTAGTTTTCACTGATCCGTGTGAACGGGGATCGTTTTGACAATGGTGTCATCTGTACCCGAAAAATGCTAAGTTTTCCGTTTTTAGTACATATTTGTCATGTAAACATGCCCTAAAAGCGCCATGAACCAACGGCAATTCTGATTTTGGGTGAAATATAACCGATACACGCTACACAGTTCAAAAGTTTTTATTATTAATTAGTGTATAAAAATGTTGAATGGGCATATCATAAGGTTTTGTAACTAGAAATAAAGAAAGAGGGAGAGACGGTGTGGTACTAACTTGCTGGCCAGGTCTCCTCCTGGTGGTAGGTTGGGGATGCTCTCATTTGATAATGTGCGCATCACATGTACCAGGTCAGGCACACCATCGTCCCCCTGCCTCTTCAGGATCTCTGTTATATCAACAACAATTCAGAGCCATCAAGTATGGTCCACTTGAATGAAAATTCAAAACTTAAATACTTAAATACAAATACTTAAATTTGTAAAGGTTAGGTCATACCTTCTACTCGGCTCTCTAGGTATTTATCAAGCTCCGCCTCCCTTTTGACAGCTTCAGGGGAAACCTTTGGTGCACTGACGAAACACACCAACACAACACTCATGTTGTCACGACTTCCCTGTCCAATCACAGAAGAAGGGAGGGGTTAATCCAAATTAAAACCAAATAGAGTTAAAAGAAAATCTATGTGTGTGTGTCTATATATTATGTGAATATAATATATTATGTAAACAAATGCGATTTGACAGCACTAATATATATTTATTTATGTCTCTCATGCTCACCAAGGTTAAATGTATTTGTTAAAAGTACAGTAAAAACAGTAATGAAGGAATACTATTACAATTTAAAACAACCATTTACTCTTAATATAATTGAAAATGTAGTATATTCCTGTGATGTCAAAGCTGAATTTTCAGCATCATTACTCCAGACTTCATTGTCACATGATCCTTCAGAAATTATTGTAATATGCTGATTTGTTGCTCAAGGAAAATGTATTGCGATTATCAATGTTGAAAAACAATTGTGCTGCTTAATATTTTGGTGGAAACAGTAAAATTTGCTTTCAGGATTCTTTGACTAGAAAGTTCAAGATTTAAAGCATCCCTTACTGAATAAAAGTATATAAAAAAATAATAATAATTAACCGTAAGCTTCTGAACAGTAGCAGAAACTAATTGCATAAAATACTGTGCAAACCGTCAACAAGTGTGATTTCTGAATCATCTCCAGATTTTGATAATTTCTTCATTTTTAATAGACAAAAGAATTCATCTGACTCACTGGTAAAGGTCTGGTTTCACTCACCTTGTACAAACAGGTATCTACAATTTCATTGCAGACCCTCTCCAGATCGTCAGTCACCTCAAGTCGAGAACGAACAAAATCACACAGCTCGTCATTGGCCATCACATCCCAGATCCCATCGCAAGCAAGAACAATAAACTCGTCCTCCGCCTCCGACCGCTCGATAGCATACACCTCGGGCTCTGGCGACACCAGCTGCTCCGTGGGACCCTTACCATGAACACACTTATAGTCAAAGTCCCCCAGAGCCCTGGACACTGCCAGGGACCCATTGACGCGCTGGATCATCACAGATCCTCCAGCGTTCTGGATCCTCTCCTTCTCCAGGGGGTTGCTGGGTTTGTGGTCCTGCGTGAAGAAGTGCACAGCCCCTCCGCGGCTCAGCACCCCCCGCGAATCTCCGCAGTTGATAAAGTAGATGTGGCGGGGTGAGAGCATCACACCAACGGCCGTCGAGCCACTGCGGTCGGCACCACCGTGCTTCTTCTCCGAGATCTGCCGCATGTGATCGTCGATCTGCAGGAAACCCGTACGGATTCCGGATTTCACGCTGTCCACGTTGGGCTCCACGGCTGGACCCCCTCCTCCACCCTGGAAGTCAGGGTTGCTGGTGATGTGCTCCAGGAGGTGCTCGCAGCAGTAACGTGCCACCTGCGATCCCGCGTGCCCGTCATAAACAGCAAAGAACGACCAGGGGTCCAGGCCATTGGGCAGACCGATGACAGCAGTATGCGCATCCTCCATCTCGACACGCCAGCCTTGCATGCTGCTCAAGCCGTAGCGCAGGCCGTTGCCGTCCCCTTTTGCGTTGTGTTTCTCCATCTTTGGCTTATCGAGAAATGCACCCATCTCTGTTGCTTAGGAATCTGGAACACAGAAGTTTAAGAATGATGAGTGATATAAAAAACAGGGTGTCATTTCTATGCCACTCACGACGCCAAACCGAATCTTCATTTGTGTCCCAAATGAGCCAGATATAGGGCAGCACGATAGGATTGTCACGTTGCCAAATTTCTGCTGTCAATACCAGTAAAATTTCACAATTCTCAAATAATATCAGTTTTCAATACCATTGCAAAAACTATAATGAAACGCACTTTATTTACAAAGTTAAATATTAACACAGGCCAAATTGTGCAGGCCTACAAACAAGCACAGCAAACAACGTTTTTTGAAATCGCAAATATAAATTAATAAGAAAAATCTTAATTAGATGATCTAACATGAATTTGTAAAACCTTTAATAGGAAGTTTAAAGGGATAGTTCACCCCCCAAAAAAATCTCCATACTATGGAAGTCAATGGGGCCCATCAACTGTTTGGTTAACCATATTCTTCAAAATATCTTCATTTGTGTTCAGCAGAAGAAAGAAATTCGTCCAGGAATGAGAGAATTTTTAATTAATGGGTGAACTATCCCTTTAACGCTAACGAATCAAGTGTAAACACGCACACATAGTTACACGCCCAGCACAATGCCTCTATTTATAATTCATGATGACTGATACTACAAAAGTCATGTCATGCCAGTAGCCAGTTTAGAAATAAACTATGACATGCCACCAGGCTCAAGTAACAAGTGTAAACACATACACACACCGTCGCAAAGGCAGGCAGACACACGGGTTCCCAATCCCAACCATGTATGGCCGTCAGCTAACACATTGCTATGCACACTACACACTCGCATACTAAAAATAGACGAGTACAAATGTATTCTGACCGTTGTTCGCCACTCAAATCAATCACAACGCACTCTGAACACAACACCAGTGCACTTGAACAACAAACAAACACCAGCCTTGAACAATGTTTGACAGGTACACACTCTGTAAATCCGATCTAACTGCAGAATGTATTTACTGCTATATTACGTTCACATTTTACAATCAGATATGGGCAATCAATCAGGTCTTTGCACTGTTGAACACATAGACAGGTTGACCACTGAACTGAACACCACTGAACTGAAAGTCTGCGCGTGCAGACCTGCCGCATGTTCACGCGCCTCTCTATTCCGCATTACGTCATGGTGTCGCGAGCGAGTAGCACGATAGCTTCATGCTAACACGGACGTTTGGGTTCATTCAGTTTGATTGTAATGATTCGACGACGTTAAATAGGTTAGTGCGTGTAATCGGGGAAAATAATGAATTAAGGATCTGGCAGGTTATCACTGCTAATGTTTGGGATAGGACAGGCTAAATGCTACCTAGAGGGCCCTGTGAAGCCTCGGGGTTGGGTTGTCAGACCTGAGGCCCTCAATGCACCATGCGACGGCTACATGCAGCAGGTCAGCCCACAGAGCTCACACAACACCCGCCTACTCCCTTAGCACACATGCTAACAGGCTAGCTCTGTCATTCACACAGGTATAGTACAAGAGCGCAGACACTTACCCACTAAAAATAAGTCCTGGCGAGTTCTGTAGTGGAGGAGGTAAAACACAGATAAAAGAAAAGGACGAAAAGACAGATAGAGATATAAACTGAGCCCGTCGGTGGTGAGAGAGAGAGAGAGGCTGGCGGATTGTTTTGCTCTGCATTCAGTCTGTGAGCGAGAGGATCACCCTTATCTTTTTAAACCAGGGATGCATCATTCCCATTTATTCTGCGTCCTGAATGTAATTAGAAGCTGCAAAGGGTCGGGTTTGACCGCTGTTTTGGTCCGCTGTGTTCGGGACCGAATCTCTGCACACCAGCAGCAGCACAGGACCCGGATGTGGATTCAGTAGGGCTGCGCACTTAAAAGAATGACATCATCATCACCATCATCATCCCTCCATCTGTACAACATCCCTCAATCTGTACACCATTCTGTCAACACCATTGCATCCTTCCCACATCAGTCGTTCATTCATCAGTTCCTCTGTAGCCTACATAATTTTTTTACCACTATGCACCCCTGTCATCAGTCCTGCATCTTTCATCTGTCAAGCCCTGGTCATTTTTAACCCTGAGACTGAACAAAAAGCTCACAGAGCCACATAATATCAGAAACCCCTTTATACACCATTACATGATGTTAATATATTAAGTGGAGAATAAAACGAGAAGAGATAGGCTAAACAAAGCATGTCTAACTATAGAGTTCAAGCTGTTTTCAAAAGGCACACAGAATAAAAATGAATAAAATAAAATAATGTCTAAAAACATTTTTATTAATACAATTAATCAGATATTTCATTTAACAAATAAAACATAGGCCTAATTTATTATTTTTTATAACAACAGACACTAAAAGCGCATATTTATATATTATAGTCTTTTTATGGACAGTGATAGATCTATCTGTCTTTCTATCTATCTGTTTGTCTGACTGTCTATATAGGCTATATCTATCTGTCTATATCTATCTTTGTATATATAGCTGTCTGTCTGTCTCTTTCTATCTATATATCTGTCTATCTATATATCTGTCTTCTTTCTATCTATAGGCTATCTATATCACTGTCTATATATCTGTCTGTCTGTATATATATGTCTATCTATATATCAATCTGTTTATCTATCTATATATACACTCACCGGCCACTTTATTAGGTACCCCATGCTAGTAACGGGTTGGACCCCCTTTTGCCTTCAGAACTGCCTCAATTCTTCGTGGCATAGATTCAACAAGGTGCTGGAAGCATTCCTCAGGGAGTTTGGTCCATATTGACATGATGGCATCACACAGTTGCCGCAGATTTGTCGGCTGCACATCCATGATGCGAATCTCCCGTTCCACCACATCCCAAAGATGCTCTATTGGGTTGAGATCTGGTGACTGTGGAGGCCATTTTAGTACAGTGAACTCATTGTCATGTTCAAGAAACCAATTTGAAATGATTAGAGCTTTGTGACATGGTGGAAGTAGCCATCAGAGGATGGGTACATGGTGGCCATAAAGGGATGGACATGGTCAGAAACAATGCTCAGGTAGGCCGTGGCATTTAAACGATGCCCAATTGGCACTAAGGGGCCTAAAGTGTGCCAGGAAAACATCCCCCACACCATTACACCACCACCACCAGCCTGCACAGTGGTAACAAGGCATGATGGTTCCATGTTCTCATTCTGTTTACGCCAAATTCTGACTCTAACATCTGAATGTCTCAACAGAAATCGAGACTCATCAGACCAGGCAACATTTTTCCAGTCTTCAACTGTTCAATTTTGGTGAGCTCTTGCAAATTGTAGCCTCTTTTTCCTATTTGTAGTGGAGATGAGTGGTACCCGGTGGAGTCTTCTGCTGTTGTAGCCCATCCGCCTCAAGGTTGTGCGTGTTGTGGCTTCACAAATGCTTTGCTGCATACCTCGGTTGTAACGAGTGGTTATTTCAGTCACTGTTGCCCTTCTATCAGCTCGAACCAGTCTGGCCATTCTCCTCTGACCTCTGGCATCAACAAGGCATTTCCGCCCACAGAACTGCCGCTCACTGGATGTTTTTTCTTTTTCGGACCATTCTCTGTAAACCCTAGAGATGGTTGTGCGTGAAAATCCCAGTAGATTAGCAGTTTCTGAAATACTCAGACCAGCCCTTCTGGCACCAACAATCATGCCACGTTCAAAGTCACTCAAATCAACTTTCTTCCCCATACTGATGCTCGGTTTGAACTGCAGGAGATTGTCTTGACCATGTCTACATGCCTAAATGCACTGAGTTGCCGCCATGTGATTGGCTGCTTAGAAATTAAGTGTTAACGAGCAGTTGGACAGGTGTACCTAATAAAGTGGCCGGTGAGTGTATATATATATATACTGTATCTATCTATCTATCTATCTATCTATCTATCTATCTATCTGTCTGTCTTTCTATCTGTCTGTATTTCTATCTATCTGTCTGTCTGTATATATATATATGTGTGTGTGTGTGTGTCTATCTATATATCAATCTGTTTATCTATATACTCTATCTATCTATCTATCTATCTATCTATCTATCTATCTATCTGTCTGTATATATATATATATGTCTATCTATATATCAATCTGTTTATCTATCTATCTATCTATCTATCTATCTATATACTCTATCTATCTATCTATCTATCTATCTATCTATCTATCTATCTATCTATCTATCTGTCTGTCTGTCTGTCTATCTGTCTGTATTTCAATCCATCTGTCTGTATTTCTATATGTCTGTCTATCTATATCTGTCATAGCTTTCTGTCTGTCTATCTATGTCGTCCATTTCGAGATAATAATTTGCTTGACATTGACAGACAGATAGACAGACAGACAGACAAATGTTAAAATAAACGTGGAGCTGTTTAAGGTTCCATTAAGAAGGTTAACCCGGAAGGCTTTGAATCGTACAGTAGGTTCTGCCGGGTCGGTGAACTTGGTGCTCGTGAGCACTGAGCAGAATTCCGCAGTGTTGATTCGAACTTCGAACGAATCTGTAGCATGTCGTAAGTTAACCATAGGTCGTAACACACACGGAAGCGCTTAGCATGCGCAAGATTCACCAGTGCTTTCAGTCAGACACACACTACTCTGTGAAATAGCTGGATTTTGTCAAGTTTCTCGGTTCTTGTGCAGAAATTATGGATATATGCTGGCTTTGTGTGATTCTCGCCGGGATCGCAGTTTATTTACTAACGCAGTTTATACGCTTTATCTTCGCCGACGCTGATCTGACTTTATTATGGGCGGATAGATTCGGCAGCACGCCAGGTAATATGATGAACCTCGCGTAGAAATTTGTTAGCAGTTTTTTTTTTTTTACATTGAAATACGTTTTCAGGGTAAACTGTAGACCTATCAATTCATGCTCTATAAAGCAACAAAGTCAGATGTGAGTGTTGACACATTGCTGCAAGATTGTGAAATTTTCACTCTGTGGAATAGACTATCATGCTCTTAACAGCCCAGTGTGGGTGTGTGGATGTCACTGTCGAAATATGTGACAAGTACAGTAACAGTAATAGCAAAGTATTTAGGCTACTTTTAAAAAGTGATAACGAAAGTCTGATGCCAACTTTTACCCAATACACACACACACACTCGGTTTCGCTATGTGGAGACTCCATAGGCGTAAAGCTTTTTATACTGTACAAACTGTATTTTTTATCCCTAACCCTACCCCTAAACCTAACCATCACAGAAAACTTTTTACAAAAAATTAGTATCTTTATTAATCCATTTCCCTCGTGGGGACCGCTGGCTGGTCCCCCACAAGGGTGATCTCAGGTTTTACACACACACACACACAAGATGTTGTTTTCATGTTTTATGTGGACTTTACATGGACACAATGATTTGTATACTGTACAAACTGTATATTATATCCCCTTACACCCTAAACCTACCCATCACAGAAACCTTTCTGCATTTTTACATTTTCAAAAACATCACTAATGATTTATAAGCGGTTTTCCTCATGGGGACCAAAAAATGACAACCACACACGCACACAAACATATATACACATGTACGTATGCATATAGCCTATATGCACACATATTATGTAAACTCAAACCTTTATGTTTTATGCGATTAATCATGATTAATTGATTTGACAGCACTAATATACAGGCCTATTGCATTAGCAATTCTCATTCTAAGCACTTATAGTTTCACACAAGCTTGTTTTTAATATCAAATTATATAGAACTATCAGCCAAGTTAATATGAACCTATGTATTAATTGAGTTTGAGATTGTGCAATGCATTTTATTAGTTTTCTTTTTACAATCGACAGTTGCTAGGACAAATTTCTCAATACTTTAGGTCACTTTTTCAAAACTCTTCACACAGTTCTCCTTACCAACTTTCATCTTGACACAACAGTTACTTTCACATTCAAAATATAATAAAACCACCAAACACATTACAATACAAAGTACTTATTTCCCCTTTTGTATGGTAATGAAATTGAAAGACTAACACCTGTGTGGGTGTTCAGCTAAATTTAATTGTTTTGATAGTATTTTTTTTAGACAATATGGTAAGGACAATATTATGTTGTGCTCACTGTGTGAAGAGTTTTGAAAAAGTGACTTGCGATTTAACAAAACAAAAAAAATTTACTAAGTAGGCCTATACCTACTCTGTTCTTGGATTCCTTCCATTACTATACCGGCTTTATTCACTGTTCTTAATTACTTAATTATTATATAAATAATACATTGTTTAAATGTCTATAGATACGTTGTTTTTTTGTTTTCATTTCATAGAGTCAAAGTTGCGAGGCAAAGTGGTGTGGATTACCGGAGCCTCCAGTGGCATCGGGGAGGAGTTGTCCCTTCAGCTCGCTGCGCTCGGTGCTCGGCTGGTGCTGTCTGCCCGCAGGGAGAATGAGCTGGAGAGGGTGAAGCGCATTTGCTTAGGTATGAACAGTCTCAAGAAACTTTTGAGAGACAGGAGTAAACACAAAAAAACCCTCAGAGGTCAATTAAGTGCACTATAATTCATGTCTGTCCTTAAGAGCTGTAGAGTGTGGCCCTGACTGCGTATACAAGTATAATTGCTGGCAATATCTGACTACAGTTCTGTACTAAAAGCATTCACACCGTGACCTACTGACCCGAAATGTCTTTTCTTGTTAGAGCGCTCCTCTCTAAAGGATGGCGATATTCTTGTTCTTCCACTCGATTTGTTGGACCGTGCATCACATCAAGAAAAAACTGCTGCAGTTCGGAAGCACTTTGGTGATGTAAATTACATCTGTTTTTCTTATTCAATCTTTAGTGGTTTTTTTTTTCTTCTTTTTTTTCTGAATTTATATTTCAGTACTGACATCGAAATAAAGTGTTAATTTTGACATTTTCAGAATATTGAGTTTGATTGAATTTTCCTAGCTAAAGAATATTAACTCTTAACTAACTATAATATTAAATATTAACTAACCATGATATTAGATCATATTTAGGAATATTAACTACCTAAAAATTAATTATGCACTGGCTACATTCATACTTGGAACAATAAAATAGAACAGGGGCCCACAAGGTAGTGAAAGGGGGTCCGCGGAGAAGTCTAGAGAAAAACTGTCATAAAAAATAATAATAATCATTTAAATCTTAAAATTAAAGATGAAAATAAATTAGTAAAGTAATAAATTAGATCTAAATACATTATTATTAGTTATTAGTCTATTAAATAGATTGAATTAGATTAAAGTAAATGAAATAAAAATTTGATTAAATTTAAACAAAAAATAAATAATACATATTAACGATACATTACTACAGTGAGTATAATATAGTAATTTAACTGAAACTAATTTTAGATTGATAATATACATTTTTCGGTGTATAAATTGGGTATTTATAAAAGACAGATGCCTTATAAATTTTAGGATGGAGTCTCTCACACAGGGATGATCATATTTGGGGGTCCGTGGCATCTAAAAGATTGAAAAACCCCGCAAAAGAATATGACTTGAAATGAGACGTGCAACTTGGAAAATTTTTAATTGTGAAAATATTGTTGCATTAATATAAAAGCGCCCGGGGAGATGTACACACTTAATGATCAACATTTACTTTTTAAGCTAAAAAAATGCATCAGTTAGCTAAAGTTCATTACATTGCAAACCTAAACATTTGCAGAGACAAATTTGTTGAGTACAGTAAATAATTGCATGGCATCATTTATCCTCATGCATTTTAGTTCTTTATACTGTACCTTATCTGAGCATCAAACAATACAATGCCTTAATGTTCAGTGATATTAAGTAAGAATATTCCCCCCTAAATGTTTGCATGTGTGTATCTGCATTTTCAGATAGACGTGTTGATAAATAACGGAGGCCGGACCCAGCGTTCGCTGTGCATAGAGGCTGATGTGGATGTGTACCAGGCACTTATGGAGCTCAACTACCTTGGCACTGTATCTATCACTAAGCAGGTGCTGCCCCACATGATCCACCGTGGTAGTGGTATCATAGCAACCGTCAGCAGCGTTGCAGGCTTTGTCGGGGTGCCCCTGGCAACGGGGTATGCTGCCAGCAAGCATGCGGTGCAGGTGAGAGCAAATAGTAGACAGAATTCCCAGAGAATCTGCCTACCCTAATGCAACATTGTCTGGTAAAGGAAAACGGTCATAAAAGATTGAAAAAGCTCCTGATTTGTTGTGTTTCTGCAGGGTTTCTTTAACTCTCTGAGAACAGAACTCGCTGATTCTCCAAACATCACGATCAGTACCATCTGCCCCGGACCTGTAGTATCAAGCATCGTTCAGAACGCAATCACAGAGGAGCTGGGCAAGGTACCTGCACAAGTGTTGTTGTTTTTTGTGAAGTGAAATAAAGCTGAAATTTTTTGGGGCCTTGGTTGATAACTAACTGAGATAAAACTAAAACTGAAATAAAAATGAAATACAAATATTTAAGATAAAAAATACAACAAATGAAAAGATAAAAATAAAAGCAAATTAAAATATGAATAAGGGAAACGGAATGAGTTGCCTAAGGGATAATCCACGATGTGGAGGCAAAGAACTGGCCAACATGAAGCGGAGGGTGGTTGGGTGCCTCCGCGAAGTGCATTAAAATCGTTTAATGCACAGCTAGCCATGGATTATCCCGCTTATATCATATTTATACCAGCTTTAAGCTGTTGTTGATGTTTGCAGCTCAATATTTGACCGGAAGGTAAAAAATTACGGTTATTTTCGTCAGTTACGGCTTGTAAGCATTCTGTCCGCTTTGGATCATACACAGAGATAAAGTTCTCACAAAAGTACACCCCTCACATTTCAGCAAACATTTTAGTATATCTTCTCAAGGGACAATATATATAGAAATGAAACTTGGGTAGATTTTAGAGTAGTCAATGCGCTGCTTGTATAGCAGTATATATTTACTGTCCTCTGAAAATAACTCAACATACTGCCATTATTGTCAAAATAGCTGGCAACAAAAGTGAGTACACCCTAGGTGAACATGTCACAACTGTGTCCAAAGTGTCAATATTTTGTGTGAGCACCATTGTTATCTAGCACTGCCTTAATCCTCCTAGGCATGGAGTTCACCAGAGCTGCACAGGTTGTTGCTGGGATCCTCTTCCATTCCTCCATAATGACATCATGGAGCTGCTGGCTGTTAGACACATGGCGCTTGTTGCAAACCGACTTGTTGCAGTGTGCGGCGTATGGTCTGAGCACTAACAAGCTGACCTTCCGCTTCTGTAACTTCTAAAGCAATGCTGGCAGCACTCATGCATCTGTTTTTTTGAAGCCAGCTTCTGTACCTGACGCACAGCACGAGGACTCAACTTCTTTGATTGACCCTCGCGAGACCTGTTCCAAGTGTTTTAAAGGAACCCGTCTTGGAAAACCTCTGTATGACCCTGGCCTGTACTGTAACTCAGTTTCAGGGTGTTACCAATCTTCTTATAGCCTAGGTCAACTTTGTGGAGAGCAACAATTCTAATTCTCAAATCCTTAGAGAGTTCTTTGCCATGAGGTGCCATGTTGAACATCCAGTGGTCAGTATGAGAGATTTGTACTCAAAGCACAAATTTTAACTGCTCTAATAGAAGATACACAAATTTGTATGGTCCTGTCAAGCAGACAAAAACATGAAAATGATGAATAGGACATGTGGCTTTGCATGGTTAAACGACGTACAGCTATTATCACCTAGGGTGTACTCACTTTTGTTGCCAGCTATTTTGACAATAATGGCTGTATGTTGAGTTATTTTCAGAGGACAGTAAATATATACTGCTATACAAGCAGCACATTGACTACTCTAAAATCTATCCAAGTTTCATTTCTATAGTATTGTCCCTTGAGAAGATATACTAAAATGTTTGCTGAAATGTGAGGGGTGTACTCACTTTCGTGAGATGCTGTAGATGTGAGTTATGCATACCTGCTGCACCTGTTGAGCGTTTCGAAGCTGTGAGTTTAATTTCTTCAAAATAGCGATGTAACCCCTTCGTCGCTGAGAAATATAATGTAGCGATTCAGTACTGAAGCTATTTTATTACTAAAAGTGGCAGGGCAGCGTTGGTAAGTTTCTGTGCTCCTGAATATTTGTGTGCGCGCTTCATTGAAAACAGTGCATTAATATACAACCGCGATTAAACTGACTCGGAACTACCTATGCATTAAACGATTTTATTGCACACCTTTCAGCCAATCAGTCGCGTATTCATACGGACCATGGTATATTGGTATAGAAATATACTGAAATGGCACTGATCAGCACTACACAAAATTACGGTAAATGATCATTTAATCAAAATACCTAGTGTGTTTTGCATTTGCCTAACTAAAAAGTACTTGTTTTTGTCTGTAGCCTGTGGCCACAGCTGGTGATCAAACACATAAGATGTCTACAGAGCGCTGTGTTCACCTCACTCTGGTAGGTCTGGCCAACCATGTGAAAGAGATGTGGATTGCTGAGCAGCCCTTTCTACTCTTCTGCTATTTGTGGCAGTACACTCCCACTCTGGCCTGGTACACAACTAAACTTCTAGGCAGAAAACGTGTGCAGAACTTCAAAGCCGGGCTGGTGAGTACTGGGAGCTTGCTGGAAACAGATCCCTGAACTCGTTTAATTATGCTACAATTGCAATAATATCTTTTGGGAATCATCTTCTCTTTCCTAGGATGCAGATGCCGCATACTTCAGCGAGCCAAAGGTCAAGACAACTTGAAAATCTAATTTCAAGAATCGGTGATTTGTGCATTCCTTTGCAGAAAGACCCAGGAAGTTTTAAAGTCCATAACTTTCTGAAGAGTGTCACACTATTTCAATATGTCATTAAATATGAAAACACCTTACATTTTGCTTGCTGTATAAATAAAGACTAATGGCACTTTATTGAAATAAAAAGCTGATTTATGTATTCTGTATTAAAATGTTATAAATAGGAATTAAAATTGTAACATTTCAAGTTTGTGTGAACAAAACTGATAGTAAATGATTTATATAAAACATCTGTATTTTTTTCTATACATACAATTACACAACCATACAAAGACCGAGCCCAAGTAGGGTGAACAGAGGTGCAAGAGCCAATTTACCTTGATATTTATAACACAAGGTGGTCACATAAAAACAAACAAAAAAAACATTCATAACCACTGAAAATAGTGACCAAGGCACATCCTTGAGATTTGACAAACAGGCTTTTTAAAACGGCAACGGTTTTCCTGTTTCTCTTCCTTTTTTTGAGGCTCTTGAAGGATGCTTAAAAAGAAAGTGGAAAAATTAAAAATACAATGGGGAAAAAAAGTGAAATGGAAGCTCAGCGTGAGGTGAGATTCAGTCAAGGACATCCAGAGGTCCATTGTTGAGGAAATAAAGTACACTTCCCAGAGAAAATAATAAATCTGGGTTCTGTCTGAATGAGTTTACAGTTTTATTATGTGTGGAGAGGATTTTGCTGATCGTCAAACAGATCCCATTTACTTCATTCTGCTGACGTTCATCAATTCATGCATTTCTTTCAGAAGCCAAATGCCACTACAATGGTAGCAATTTCAAATGCAATAAAATAACTTGCTGTGTGCAGAAACATCTGACTTTATGAAACTCATGTGCTGGTAGCATCAGTATGTGTGCTGACACAAATGAAAGGTGGGGCAGGTGGCGATCATAAACACCGTAAGTGGATGGGTGGAGATGAGTAGATAGGGTATCCCAGAGGTGGGTCAGCTGCTTGAACGGTCAGGTTCCTCAGCATCACAGGATGGGCCTGAATGCTGTAGCGCTCCTCGTCGTCATTCGTGGCATACAGTAGCTCCCATGACAGGTTGGCCCACTGGCCCCTCACACCCTCCTCATTCAAAACTCCCACCTGGACCAGATTCTCCTGCAGAGACAACACACGGCTCGTATACGCCCCCTGTGAAAAACAGAAAATGTATACCACATCTGTAAATGATCACATGGAAACTTAAGAAATTAAATTTGTAAACTCAAGGAAAATGATCATGTATGAAGAGCAGGGTGAGACTAATATTAAACTTCTAGTCAATACCGATTCGCTGATAACTATTTTCATGTTATGACCAATACATATCTGATGTTAAATTCTACAACATTTTGTCTACAAAATTTACAGTAAAATCACTTGTTTTAAATGCTAAATAAAGCAGCACAACATTACAAATGTATGGTATGAATTTTCTTTTATTAATTTTGAGATTTACTTCAAGATTACATTCAACAGAATTATTAAATTGTATTTAAAATTATATGAATCTAATTCTATTATAATTTAATTAATCAAATTAAGCTATATGTGATTTAGATGACAGCAAAAATAACCTGAATGAAAAAAATAGAGAAAGGTAATGTACAATTAAATATCCAATATTTACTGATACCGGCGGTAAATAAACAAAATATGTAATATTGTACAAATATATTGTTCAGAAAGTATCAATATAACACTGTGTCCTCCTAACCAGACACAATAAGCAGTTTGTCTGTACTCAGCAGAATTCCAACACAACAGGCCAGGCCTAGCAAGCACAATTTCACAGTAGTCAGAAGCAACAGAGCGTCAAAACGCTCTGACAAACCCATTACAGTCATGACTAATTTACTCAGAAGAGATTTTTCTTTATTGCATCACACCAGGTTATGACACAGTCTAACAGTTAATGTTTGGTAGCCATGGTTACATTACAATAAATATGGTGCTGCTTACCATGGTGAGGTCATGTCCGAGAGAGAATAGGAAGGGCTTCTCCTGTACAACACTGTCTTGCCAACTGTGGTCTGTTACCAGGCCGATGAACCAGTTGTTATGGTAATCCTGTAAAGTTGTGTAGAGCTCATCCAGACTCTCTACCGGACCAAGAGATGCCTGGTCTACCAACAGTTTTACACTGTACCTGCACACAGAATGCGGTCACGTTTTAGGAAATGCAGCTGATAAAAGGCCCCTTTCTGATGTAAAATGTGAACTGAATCTTGCTTGTCTGTTACCTGAAAGCCCTGAGCGTGAGCTGATGCAGCTCTTTATTGGCTCGGAGCCACTCAAGTCCCTCAGTCCAGGGGCCGTCCCCGCAGTACAGCCTAAACAGCAGATTAGGGCTGAACATCTGAGCATCTGCCCCTAGCGCCACACAGCATGATAGCACCACCTGGGTATAAAGCTCCCGCAGGGCACGGTCCTCCTGCAAACCCAGTGTCACCTGCTCAAACTCTCCCTCCCCAAAGCTCTCCACCACCAGCTGGGACAAACAGAAGCAGAACCAGGCCTCTGGGAAGCAGGGTCGCAGTACCTGGAGTTTGGAGGAAGCCAACTGGGCGGTCCGCCACTCTGAGGGCAGAGAGAAGAGCTCTGAGTGAGGGCTAGTGAAGTGGAGAGGCTGGGAGTTACTCTGGACGGTGGTCGAAGTGCGTGCAGGGATTTTATCTTTCCCTTTATCTACGATGGGCAGGCCGAGTCCCAAACCCAGACCCAGAGGTCTAAGGGTAGGGAGAGAAGAAAGGGCCATGCTCTCATACAGGCTGTGGATTTCAACAGAACCTGGAAGAGACACTCCCAACCCTAACTCGGTCTGCCCTTCGTCTGTCCGTACCATCATTCTCATTGGTCGCCGCATGGTGACTGGACCGAAGAGATCGTCCTCGTCTGACCAGTCAGCAAAGGATGAGAGGCTGGAGCTGTCTTGCCCCCTCAAGTGACAGGACGAGGAGGAGTCAGGGCGTACTTGAGAGTCCATGGCAACTGTGACCACAGCCGGATCTGGCTCAGAGGGCACGGCATGCTGGGAGCTTTGCGATTTGCGTCCAGAGGTCTGTAGAGACTGACCTTTTGTTTGCGGAGCACCACGTGCCAATTCCTGTACACAGTAACGCAATAAAATCCAGACAAGTGTTTTAAGGAAGTCAGAGTTGAGCTGACGCAGGTGGTCAGGCGAGTCAATGATTCCTGTTAGAACGTTCTGGGCGTCAGAGTAAACCCTGACAGGCAACATAGAGCAAGGGGTCAGAGCATTACCCCAGTGAGGGTTCAATAGTCGGAAACACTGGCCGGGCCGCTCCACGTGATCGAACGCTCCTTCAAAAACCTCATCCACACGCCGAGCCTCCACTGTGTGGCATGATGTTTCCTGTAGTTCCAGTCCCTGTGGTGAAACATTGGTAGCCAATGAGAATTCATAAACTGGTGTTATGTAGACCTCCAAATAAAGCATTTGATTTGTTTTAGAGCAAAGGCAAGAAAGCAGGTATACCTTAATGTTGACAGTGCAATAGCCGTAGCCTCTCTCTAGAACAGAGATCCACAGAAGTCGACCCTGAAAGCGACCGAGGTAATGAGATCCCGGAGTACAGGAACCTGCAACCAGATGCATGAATATTATCTGCAGTGCAAATTTAAATAAAAATAGCTTTAACAATATTTAATCAGGTTCCTTAACATGTACTCTACTACAGCAATAATAAAAACAAACAATAGGCTATCAACTTCTAAATCCATTTTTTGAAATGATTATTCAGTGCTCATCTGCTACAATAATTTTTTAATTGATCTAATTAGGGGGCTTTTTCTCAGAAAATCTTTACATTTACACTACCGTTTTAAAAGATTGGGGTCAGTAATATTTTTAAATCTTTCTAAAAGAAGTCTCCTATGCTCACCGGGGTTGTATTTATTTGATCAACAATACAGTGAAAACCGTAATATTGTGAAATATTATTACAATTTGCAACAGCTGTTTTCTACTTAAATATATTTTTAAAAAATTATTCCTGTGATGGTAAAGCTGAATTTTCAGCATCATTACTCCAGTCTTGAGTGGCACATGATCCTTTAGAAATCATTCTAATATGCTGACTAAGTGCACAAAAAACATTTTTTATTATTATCAAAGTTGAAAACAGTATTTTTGTGGAAACAATCTTTTTGTTTTTTTGTATTTAGGATTTTTTGCATTGTAGCAATGTAATATGTATTAACTGTCACTTTTGACTGCACTTTGATCTTTACAACATGATAGAGATCAGGATACTCGTGTTTTTCAGCTGGTGTCACTCACCAAATGCGCCATTAGCGAGTGCAGGTCTGAGAGCCGATGCCAGTCTTTTGCAGAGCTGTTGGTAATAAACAGAATCTGGGCAAGGGCAGGCGGTGCCTGGGGTGCCTGGCCACGAGCGGAGCGGCCTGGGGAATCCCACCAGGAACACAGGTAGTGTGAAGAGAGGAAGCAGAGGGGCAGACAGAAGGGCAGAGAGAGCCACAACAGCCAACAGAAGAGGGCACAGAGCAGCGTTGAGTGCCAGCAAAGTGCCCGCTGACTGACGACGCTGTTTACTCTCCGTCCAGGATGTAATCAACACCGTAAGAGCGAAACTCAGCTTACATACAAACTGTGACACACGATTCACAACCAAGGAGACCTGCAAGAAAAAAGTTATTACACAAACATCCCTGCAATTTAATTACAGTAAAGGCATCAAGTTACATTTGGCTCACCAGAATCAGCTGGACTGTAGAGCCCAAATCATGCCAGCGTGCGACTCTGTGCCCCCCTGCGAGTCTGATGATCACCACCAGCACCATTTGCAGTAGAGCAGCCTCAGAGCTCTGCCACACCTACCGTACAAAGCCCAATGAGTCAGGGGTCAAATGTAAAGAGGCAAATAGTTCTGTTCATGTCTTCATAATGCTTTAAGATGGTTTACTGATAAACTCTCTTACCATTCTGAATGCCCGCGTAAAGCCAATGGCGAGAGAGGCCGTGTGCAGCTTCTCTAGAGATTCATCCACAGACAAGAAAGCAATCATAGCCAATGGACTCACTGTAAAGTCAAACATGAACATTAACATCAAAATACACACATAAAGGCATTATTATGTGTTAGCAAGCAATTAATAGAAATATA